AAAGTGCTGGGATTACAGGTGTGAGCCATCATGCCCTGCCGGTAATTTATATTTTCTTTTTCTGTTTTCCTTGTCATTCTTGCCAGAGGTCTGTCAATTTTATTGATCTTTTCAAAGAATCAACTTCTTTTCACTGAGCTTCTGTTTTCAATTTCACTTATTTTTGCTCTTATTTTCTTCCTTTTGCTGGCCTTGAGTTCATTTTGCTTTTCCTTTTCCAGTTTCTTGAGGTGGGAGTTTATATTACTGATTTGACTTTTCTTTTTTCTAATGTAAGCATTTTAGTACCATAAATTTCCTTCTCAGCACTGCTTTAGCTGCATCCCACAATTTTTTCTTTTTTTGAGCCTGAGTTTCACTTTGTGGCACAGGCTGGAATGCAATGGTGCAATCTCAGGTCACTGCAACCTCCACCTCCCAGGTTCAAGCAATTCTCCTGCCTCAGCCCCTGAGCAGCTGGGATTACAGGCATGCGCCGCCACCATGCCCGGCTCCTGGCCAATTTTGTATTTTTGATAGAGACAGGGTTTCTCCATGTTGGTCAGGCTGGTCTCGAATCCCTGATCTTAGGTGATCCACCTGCCTCAGCCTCCCAAAGTGTTGGGATTACAGGCGTGAGCCACCGCTATGGCCATAAATTCTGATATTTGCATTTTCATTTACTTTCATTTCAATGTTGTCTTTTAAAATTTCCCTTGACATTTTGCTTTTTGGCCCATGGATTATTTAGAAGTATTTTGTTTAGTTTCCAAATGTTTGGGGGAATTTTTCTGTTAGGTTTCTGTTATAGATTTTTACCTTGATTTCATTGTGTCAGAGAACATACTGTGTATGATTTCAATTTTTAAAATTTGTTTAAGTTTCTTTCCTTCATGACCCATGGTATGGTCTAGTTTGGCAAATGTTTCATGGGGGCTTGAAAAGAATGGGTGCATTCTGCTTGTTGTTGGGTGGAGTATTATATAAATGCCAATTAGATCCTGTTGGCTGATGTTTTTCTATATCCTTATTGATTTCAGTCTAGTTGTTCTAAAATTGTTGAGAGAGGGACACTGAATCCAACTATACTTGTGGATTTATCTCTTTCTTCTTTTAGATCAATCAACTTTTGCTCCACATATTTTATAGCTTCTGTTGTTTGGTGCATACACATTTAGGATTGCTGTATCTTCTTGGTGGACTGACCTTTTCATCATCGTCTAATGTCGCTCTCTGAACCTGGTATTCTTCCATCTGAAATCTATTTCATCTGATATATTAATATACCCACTCCTGCTTTGTTTTGGTTAATGTTTACGTGGTATATCCCTTCTCATTATTTTACTTTCAGCCTATATTTCATGTGTTTGAAGTTAGTTTCTTTTAGACAGGATATAGTTGGGTCATTTAAAAAATTAACTCTGCCAAACTCTTTTCTTTTAATTGATGTTTTTAGGCCACTCATAATGTAACTATTGATATGTTAGCCTGCCAATTTATTTGCTGTTTTCTGCTTGTTCCCTCTGTTTTTAGTTTCTTTGTTTTCTTTTACATACCTTCCAATGGGCTATTAGAATATTTTAAAAATACCATATTTTGATTTATCTATGGTGTTTCTGAGTGTATTTCTTTGCATAGGTATTTCAGTGGTAGCTCTAATTTTTGCATTATACCTAGAAACTTATCAGAGTCAACTGGTGTCAACATTATACCAGTTCAAATGAAGTGTACAAACCTTACCTCCCTTTATATCACTTTACTCTCCTTTGTTTATAATTATCTTAGGTATTTCCTCTACATATATCCCAAACTCTGGGGCTCAAGTGATCCTCCTGCCTCAGCCTCCCAAAGTGCTAAGATTATAGGTGTGAGTGACCATGCCTAGCCTCAATATTTCATCTTTAACAATAGTTTTTATATAATGTGCCTTAATGTAGTTTTCTTCATGTTTCTTGTGCATGGCATTCATTGATTTCTTAAATTTGTGAGTTTAGAGTTTTTATCAAAATTAGAAAAACTTTGGCCATTTTTAAAAGTATTTTTTTCTGTCCCCTGTTCCTCTCCTTTGGTAGCTTTAATTACACATAAATTAGATGGCTTGAAGTTGCCCCAGCTCAATTATGCTCTATTCATATAACAAAATGATTATTTTCTTTCTGTGTTTCATTCTGGATAGTTTCTATTCCTATGTCTTCATGTTCACTAATCTTTTCTTTTGTGATGTCTAATCTGCCAATAATTCTATCTAGTATATTTTCCATGCCAGAAATTATAGTTTTCCTCTCGAAAATTTTAATTTGGATCTTTTAAAATATCTTCTATATCTCCACTTAGCTTTTGAACACATGGAACCCAATTATAACAATTGTCTTAATGTCCTCATCTGCTAATTCTAACATTTATGTCACTTCTGGGTCAGTTTTAATTAATAATTTCTTCATAATGAGTCATAATTTCCTGCTTCTTTGCACACCTATTTAAGTTTTGATTGAATGCCAGACAGTATGAATTTTGCCTTGTTGGGTGCTACATATTTTTGTATTTCTATAAATATTCTTGAGCTTTGTTCTGGGATAGTTAGGTTACCTGGGAACAGTTTGACACTTAGGATCTTGTGTTTATGTTAGGTAGTCTTGAGCAGTACTAAGTCTTGGGGCTATTTTATGCCCTACTGAGGCAAGACCTTTTTGAGTCCTCTACCCAATGCATCATGAATTATGAGGATTTCCAGCTTGGCTGATATGAACATGTACTACTCCAGTTGTGAGTATCAGGTACCATTGTCTTTAGTGCTTTAGGGTGCTTCCTTCTTTGGCCTTGGGTAGTTTCCTTACACACATGTACTGATCAGTACTCTGCTGAATACTCAAGGGAAACCCTCTTCAGATCTTTAGAGTTCTGTATGTAACTCTCTCTTTCTCCTTTCCTCTATGTATCTCTTTTTCCTCCTTGGTCTCCCTGAAGTCCCAGATCCATCTCCTTGACTTAGGGAAACCACTGGCACTCCCCCCAGGATCTCCATCACTGCATTGTGGCTTGGAAACTTTCTCAAGGGAGTAAGCTAGGACAATTCTTTTTCTTTTGAGATGGAGTTTTTTTTCTGTCACCCAGGCTGGAGTGTAGTTGTGCAATCTCGGCTCCCTACAACCTCTGCCTCCTAGCTTTAAGTGATTCTCCCGCTTCAGCCTCCATGCCCAGCTAATTTTTGTATTTTTGTAGAGACAGGGTTTCACCATGTTGGCCAGGCTGATCTTGAACTACTGACCTCAGGTGATCTGCAATCTGGGTCCATTCTAAGTCTCACCTCATTTACTTCTTATCTCCCAGGGGGTTTGTTCTTTGGTGTGTGATATCCAGTGTTTTGAAAAGTAGTTTTCATACATATTATCCAGTTTTTTAAAAACTGTTTTAGGCAAGAGGGTAAATCTGCTCCCTGTTTTTCTATCTAGGGTGAAACAATGACTTGCTTCTAATGAACAGAATGTAGAGGAAGTGACAACGTGTTACTTTTGAGACTATGGCATAAAAGATATTATGGCTTCTTTATTGCTCTCCCTATCTTTTGGATCAGTTGCTCTGGGAGAAGCCTGCTGCCACAAATTAAGGACATTCACGAGCCCTATGGAAAGATCCAAATGGTCAGGAAATAAGAATTCCTGCCAACAGTTAAGTGAATATGCCTTCTTGGGACTGGATCCTCCAGCCTCTCTTGAGCTTTCAGATGACTAACATCTTGGTGACAACTTCATGAGGGACCCCAAGCCAGATCTACCTAAGCCACTTATGAATTCCTAATTCCTAGTAACTTTGAGATAATGTTTATTAATTTAGGCCACTACATTTTGGGATAATTTGTTACACAGCAATAAACAATGAATAGAGGTAGCAAGTTCTGCTCAAGCTGTAGAAATGATCAATTGAATTTCTTAAATAATTTTATCATTTCCCAAACCCAGACTAAGTAACAATGCACAGACAAAATCCCCACACTTAGCACTTAGAGCATTTATATTAAACACTTTCCCCGTGTGACTTTTTTCAAGAAATAAATCGTGAGTTGTTGTAAGCCTAAGGTTCTGTCAAAGCAACCAGGGTATGTTCTAATCCAAGAAGCATAAAGTAATGTATATTATTTTTATTCTTTATAGTATCAACAGAGATGTTATCTTTCCACTTCCAATGAGGGAAACTAAGGTATTAATCAAAAAGTAAGTAGATTCCAGTCATATATTATATTAAAAATTCAGCAATAGATTTATGAAATTTCCTTTTTTGGAAATCTGAAATAATAAGACTTATATCCATTTAGTAGTATATATTAGCAGCAAGGCTACCTCAAGGAAGGAGATGCATAGAACCTCTGGAAGCCTTTCTCATCTCTATAATTCTGAATTTCATATAAGGGAGAAAGGGAACATTGAAATTTTGAGGAAGAGCATAATTTTCTATGTATGAAGGGGCTTTATAAAAACACTGCACCTGGCCCAGCCATTGCCTTCCATAACTCTAGGGGGCAGTTTCACCTGAGTCTATGTGGAATGTAGAAAAAATATGTTCATGTTTTTGCATAGTTAGGGCTTTCTAAGCAAAGAAAACTGGTACCTGGGTTAAAGTACAAGTCTTGGAAGTTAAAAGATGATTGAACAGCCAGAGACCTTAGAAGAGATTTAGAGGCTTCCCTCCTTCTGTGTTTACATTTCAAAGGGCAAAAAAGGAGTCAGTTGTTTACATTTCAAACATCTGTCAATGCCAAAGTTTCTCTCCGTCTCTCTGGAGTAAAAAGGGGCAGCTTGTAGCCTATTTATACTCCCAGATTAATAATTTTGGGGTTTCTCTTCAAGTGTGTACACCCCTATATATGCAGGATGCCCTCTTACTCTCATGGTGTCACCTGGGGGCTACCGCATATGGAGAGGTAGTGTAGTTATTGCTGTAAGTATTAATAACTATGATCCCTATTCCAGAAACATTACCACTGTATTTACTTTCAGGATAAAATAAATAAATATAAATATACTTACCACAAAAGGGAGGATGCACTCATGCTGATCTTGTACCATGTATAAACTGAACAGGGACATGCGGCTGGGGCCCATCAAGCTGCAGGCTAGAGAGAAGAAGTTCTGCAGAGCCTCACAGAGGTTGGCACAGATGTCAGCCCAGGACGGTAGAGCAATGTGCACAATGAGAAGCCGTGGAGGTTGCTGGTCAATCTGAATGTGAGTGGAGGGCCCCTTACCAGTAGTTCGCCCAGGATGCATGGCAGCGAAACCAGAAGCGGAACTGTAGCCACCAGCTGGATATTCTCTACACATATAGGGAAGGAAAGAGAAACTACTGGTTTCAAACTGAATTATGTGTGCTCTGCTGAAATATAAAACACAAGTTGAGGGGAAAAAGTCCAGAAAGGAGTCAGACTGGGTACCAGCCATCCTATTTTAACAGCTCCTAAGAGATCTAGATGTTTGCCTATAATGTAAGCCCGAAAATGGTTAGAGATGCTGAGCGGAATTAATCAAAAGTTACACCAAAAAACCCAAGCTTCTGTCTCAAAGTAAGCTATCTGCTCCCATAAACTTTGTTTATTAGCATTTATCGTGCTCTATTATAATTTGTTCCTATGACTGCCTCTCCCACTATACTGTAAGCTTCCCAAGGGTAGAGAACCTGTCTTGTTGATTTTATTCATCAGTACCTAGCATACGTGTGTTTAGTACCTAACAAATAATTCTTAAAAAATGAAAATATGACTATATTTCTCCTTGGTTAAAATTCTTTGGTTGTCTAAATCTCTTATAAGGTAAAATTTAAACTCTCTTTAAGACCTGTCATTACTTGATTGTTAGCCTAATTAGAAGCTTTACCTTGAGGTTTTCATGGAAACAATACCAAATACATTCACTTTAGTGCATTTGCTCATGCTGCTTCTCTGCCTCCAATACTCCTGGCTACTTTTACTAATCCCCAGAACTCAGATTAGGAAATGAGAACAAATGAGAACAAAGAACCAATATAAGGAATGAGAAAGGGACATTGTTACAAATGCTGAAACATGAAACGGGTTATAAGAGGACATAATGAATGGCTTTAAGCTAATAAGTTTGATAAAATGGACAAATTCCTAGAAAAATGTATCTAATCAATACTAAAGAAATTTTAGAAAACTGAATAGTCTATAACCATTAAGGAAATTTAATTGGTAATCAGATATTTTCCCACAAAGTAAGTTAGAGGGCCAGATGATTCCACTGATGAGCTCCATCACACTTGAAAAGATCAAGAATGTCAATTTTTTTTTAAGAGATGGGGTCTTGTCATGTTGCCCAGGCTGGTCTCAAACTCCTGGGCTCAAGTGATCCACTCACCTTGGCCTCCTGAAGTGCTAGGATTACAGGTGTGAGCCACTGTACCCAGCCAAGAATTTAAATCTTAAATTTTTTTAGAGAACAGAAGAGGGAACACTCCTCAATTAATTTTATGAGGTTAGCACAATCTTTGAAAATGAAACCAGATAAAGGTACAATAAGAAATAAATTATAGGATAATCTCACCTATAAACTTGTAAACATTCTAAATAAAATAGAGAGAAATTGAAATTAATAATATATGAAAAGAATAATACAGCATGATCAACTTGAGTTTATCCCAAGAACCTAATATTGATATAACATTAGAATATCAATCACTGTAATTCATCACATTAAAAAAGTAAATGACAAAAATGATATGATCATCTCAATAGATGCAAAAGAAGCCTTTGTTTAAAACCCAACATTTGTGCATGATAAAGACTGAGTAACTAAGAATAGATAATAGGAATAATCTTATAAAAGACATTTATAAAAATGGAGAGCAAACATTATTCTTCATGGTGATATGTTGAAAGCTTTCCATGTAAGACAAGGAGCGTGCTGTCATCACTTTTATTTAGCACTGTAGCGAAGGTAGTAATGAGGTAAGACAAATAAAGAAAAGGCATTGCAATGAAAGAAAGAAATTGTCATTGCGTGCCAATGATTGCATATGTAGAAAATCTAAAATAATCTACTGTTGTATAATTTTCCCCAAAAGATATCTTTGTCTGTTGTTAAATTTTAGTCTTAGGGATCTGTCAATTTTTAAATATTAATTTACATTTCAAAGAACTATCAATGACAAAGTTTCTCCTCCTCTCATCTTTTCACATTTCATTTTTAGTTTGTTGCTAATGTATAGGAATATAGTTAGTTAAAACAAATTTTTATAAAGATGGGGTCTTGCTATATTGCTCAGGTTGGTCTTGAACTCCTGAGCTCAACCAATCTAACCAGCTCTGGCAACTGAAGTGCTGGGATTACAGGCATGAACCACTGTGCTCAGCTATAATTTTTGTATATTGATTTTATATTTAACAACCTTGCTATACTCTCTCACTAATGATAATAATTTATCTGTAGAACTTTTTGGATTTTTTGTTCTTAATCATATAATTTTTAAACAATCATATATACCAGGATATATGAAAATCATATAATTTTTAAACAATCATATATACCAGGATATATGAAAAAGGTCAGATCATAGCAGCCAAAAGACTATTAGAAACAGTCCTGTTCTCAATTACCCAAAATTGAAAAAACACAAATGCCAATCTACATTAAAATAGATAAATCATAGTATACTTGCATATACAGCAATGAAGATGAATGAACTACAGTTGCATGTGGCAACATGGATGATTCTTAGAAACATAATATTGAGTACAAGCAGCAAAACACAAAGAATACATATGCATATGGCATAATTTCACCTACATAGATTTAAAAAATAAGCAAAAATAGCTATATTGTTTAGAGACGCATAGTGATAAAGCTATAAAGAAAAGCAAAGAAATGATAATTACAAAAATGAGGGTAGTGATTTTTCTCTAGGAAGGAAGGAAGGCATTATGATGAGAAGAGACAAAAGGAGGGGATTCTGGGGTATTGGTAATGTTCTATTTCTTTTTTTTGAGACAGGGTCTTGCTCCACTGCCCAGTCTGGAGTACAGCAGTGGCCTGATCTCAGCTCACTGCAGCCTCCACCTCCCAGGCTCAAGTGATCCTCCCACCTCAGCCTCCTAAGTACCTGGGACTACAGGCATGCACAACACCACCTCGCTAATTTTGTGTGTTTTTTTTGGTAGAGACAAGGTTTTACCATGTTGCCCAGACTGGTCTCAAACTCCTGGGCTCAAGCGATCCTCCCACCTTGGCCTCCTAAAGTGCTGGGATTACAGGCATGAGCCACCACTTTCAGCCTCATGTTCTATTTCTTGATCTTTATTGTGGTTATTGGGTATTCACTTTATACTATTAAACTATACATTCATGTTTTATGATATTTTCTATATGTTATATTTAATAATAACAATATTTCAAAAAGAATATTAGGACAATCAAAAGAAAACATAAAAAAACCTGATAAAAAAGATAGCTAAAAAGATAGCTAAAAAATAAGTCCCCACCTCTGAGAACTAAAATCATTCTATATAATTGTTTTTAGCTAAAAAATGCAGGGAAACTTAAAGCTTCTTTGATTTCCCCTGTGACCAAGAGAAAGATAATTATGATAATTTTCAGAAACACTTCGGAATTTAGACTCTTTAAAAATGATTTAAGAATACATATAGGTGTATTTCCCCATATGAATCTGCGAAGTTATTCACTTCAAACTTCCCTTTTTGAATGGTGGAAGTCAGCATTTGTTCATTCAACATTTTAAAAAATTGAGTTCCAATTATGTGCAGGATACAGCTAGAAAAATAAATGAATGAATATCCTAATCTTTAAAAAGTCATCTTGAACCAGAAATCCAAATCAATTAATAATGTATTTACCAAGAAAGCACAAAATATATTTTTAAACTGTGTGTACATGGGGCCAATTTCTACATGGAATGCCGAACTTGAAGTTCACATGGAAAGATTCACAATAGGCAGTCAGAGGCCTTATTTAATGTATAATGAGCTTCTACTTCCCTTGTCCATCTTCTCTCACATCTGAAAACGTCATTTTAAAGTAGAGGCAGTCCTCATTTTGCATGGTTCCAGTGTATACACATTTCAGTTACTACAGTTTAGTTAATTAACATCAGTCCTCCAACAACACAGTTCAAATTTCAGTTACCATGGAATATTAACTGTAATTACATAAAGTACAAATTGTCTCTAGCTTTTCAGTTCACAAATTACTACATAGTTATCAGAATCAATAGTATAGTATACTGATATAGTATAGTGTACTGATATAATACAGTGATCAGTGCATCTTCATCAGTAATTAATTATATCACTTCTTTCAAAGTCTGTTGGTGACTGGTTACTGCAGATCCATTATTCAGTTAAAGCACAGACAGCAAAGTGCATAGTTGTGTTGCCTCTTTGTCTCCTAGTGATAAGCCCATATGACGTTTTACAAAAACGAAAACTGAAAGAGGGAACTAGCCAATAAAGAATGCAGCAAAGAAATAAAAAATGATAGTGTCGAGAGTGAAATCTGAATCTAACGTAAGTGGAGTTAAAGAAGAAACAGCTGACTATGAGAGTGTTGACACTGCCACTATCTGATAGACTCTAGAGAAGCAGTCAGAGGAATTCAGTGAAGGCAAACTTATCAAAATACTTGAGGAAAGTCATTGTGGTGAAAAGGATGAAGACATCCTACAGAAAGTGCCACTGGCAAAAAGCTTCATTATTAAGGAAACTTTCAGAGATATTTTACAAAATTGAAGGTACAAAGAATAAAATGTAGGAAACTGACCCAAACTTAGAAAGAATTATGACAGTTTGCCATGGCACACAAAAAATGTTTGCTCTCTCATAAGTTTTACTATGAGAAGCAAACTAGTACAGTTCAAACTACTCTTGGTAAGTTTTTTTCTTCAAATAAAACACTTTAGCTCTCAATGTTTCTAATGTTTTAAATTAGTGTATGAAATAGTTTTACTGTTTTACATTTCCCTATGCACTTAGTAAGAAAGATTTAGTGTTTGGACAATTTTTCAAGGTTACAGAACTACTGTAATTTTTCCCATTGGTGTTTAAGATCTCTTTGAGTGGTTTCAGCTTGCAGTCATTTTTCAATCCCACATTAATGTGCAACTGGGACTGTATTTTAAATGAGGTAAGAGGCAGCTCTCTTCCTTATATCCTCAAACATCAATTCATGCATCTGATGTGTTTGGGCATAGCACTGCAACCTCCACCTCCCAGACTCAAGTGATCCTCCCACCGTAGCCTCCTAAGTACCTGGGACTACAGGCATGCACCACAACACCTCGATAACACA